TGATTATAGTGACAAAAGTCTTTTGGCGCCCTCATATCAGTATGATAAAAAGAAATTTATGTCCATCCTGACTTCAAACAAATATAAACAAATCAATATAAAGATACACTAAATGCCATAATTAATTGCTAATAGATAATTAAATACAGTAGTTGATTTAATTTTGCACCGAAATTAAAATGGCATGAAATTCGTTATGTTGTTAATGTATTGAACGATATTCGTCCTTTGGTAACGGTACCTGGGCTAGATTTTTTTCCAGACCTGGTCATCAAAATAGTTCGAAAAATGTCAGCTTCCGTCAATTACTGGATATAGCCCAGTAGCAGAAACAATGAACAAAAAGATTTTTCAGCATCCTTCCCCTGGAAATTAATCCGTACGCTGCCCCTCCCCCAACACACAATACTCAGAGCTTCCTTGTCGTTGCTTAGTCTGTAATAAAAGCCAAAAGGGTCCGTGATCTCTGATATATCAATATCACGATTTCATGCTAATTGCGGAAAAAAATGCATAAAGATCTTACATAAGTATGAATGCTTCAGCAGGGAATTGCAACTAATTACCTGTCAGTGAGAGGAATGTTGAATAATGAGTTTTAGCAGCCAATTTCCTACTATTATTCCTCTATAGCTGAGTGCCTAGGAGGATCGGCGGGTGAAAAATGTCCTTCGACTTTCGTCTCCCCAACATTCACTTCGCCAGGGTTCCGGTCCAGGACGTTGACCCTACGTAAAATCCATTAAGAACAGTTTCATGTACACAAATATGCACAAATGAGCGAAATTAGAATTTATATTGACCGACTATCGACATCGATCAATAAATCTGTTGAATCAATGCCACGCTAACATCTGACAGTATACGAGAATAAGAAATTCAAACACGTAAATTATTATCAATTATAGAAAGCCATTTCAAGCAGCAAAGTAGTAAGCGAGAACACATATTGGGGAATGAGGTCAATTGCTCTGTTGTTTGATGTCTCCTACACCTTCTGGCGCATCAACTACGGTCAGACCGCGCAGCAGACCCCTAGCTGGCCTCAAGGCATCTCTTGTCCTCGATAAACTTCTTCCAAGAAATCTGGATCGCGTCAGCTGCCCCTCTTATGTACTTTGCAACATTCCGCTCTTCTTTGTCCTCTCTGACGGAAGAACGTGCTGTGATGTCATAGCCAAAGGCTTTTCCGGTTTTTCACACCCACACAACCCGCATTTTGTCGTTTAAATAGTACCGGCAGTATAATTGACAGATGACGGCACAAAAACAGCACATTTGTACACAAAACTTAATGCCGCTATTCTGTACTAATAAGCAAGCTGCTAGTTTTCAATATCACCGTTAAGATTGACATCCTTTTGTCAATTCTCCGCATTTATACGATACACTCAACCCTCTTCGAGCCTCAAGCGGCATGTGGATGTCATTCAGTTTCAATAAGCCGCGGCTTCGTGAGACTGTGATATCGGCAGAGCAAGGACGCAAAACAGCATCACCTTGTGGGGTAGAATTGAAATGTTTTCGACTAAAATCTTATGTATGAGGAATGAGGTAAATCAGATAGTGTTCAAGGAAGATAGATAGTGTATGTTGAAATTACTCTGCATTCATGTATATGTGGCCAGTCAGTCGATCGTTCTTCGGTTGGCCAGTCGATCGATCGCTCGGTCAGTCTCAGTGACCGCTCATTCTCTCGGGTCGTGAAAGCAGAGGAGCGAAACAGTGTCTCCGACGTTCCCGACCTCGTATTAGTGTTTGTTCATTGAGAGAAGACAGCCCAAATCTGGAACAGAGTCTTTCGATGCACATGTTCCTGTTTATTCGTTCCACGCTCGGAGTATTCAGCTGGTCCGTTGGACAGACGGTAGTTGTTGCGCATTACTTTCTGGAAACATTTGCAACACATGCACAAACCATCGCAGCTGTGACTTCTCAATCTGGAGAAGCAAAGTTTATATACGAAGGCTGTTCCGGATGTCACTATTCCGGACCATGTCAAGACGCGTAAGGCCAGCACTCGTCTAAGAAAGCCCATTTCAGCAGCTTGTACCCGGGTTCGAAGATCTAGTCCACGATTCATGACCGTAGGCAAGCATAGAGATGAAGATCGACCTGAATGCCGAGGGCTTGGTCTTCAGACTCAGCTGTGCTTTAATCACAATGGTTCGTGCTAATTCCCTGTACCAGGTGTACTGATGCACTATTCGATGCTGGAAGAAGGTGTTCATAATGGTCAGTCCGTTGTTTGCACAAAACCGCAGCAACTTCATGCCGTTATTGTTGAGGTCTCTAGGGCGTTCACAAACATATAAAAAAGCTTATTTATGAAAATTGCACGCCATTCGTGGCTGTACAAATGCGTTTGCAGTAATGCAAACTTTGCGGCATTTTTGCACCTAAAAAATTATTTACATTTTCATGAAAAAAATTAATAGGCTTACGTTTTTAGCTGACTGTTCCGATGTTGCTTCAGGCAATGACGAATTTAGAGAACCTGGGAAGACAGGCACGAAAAAGATACTTTATTCTGGTCATGTACTTTCTAACACTGTCTCGATCTGGTGCATTGTGATGCTATTGTTTGGTGTTCTGTATTCACTGTATTAACAAATGCAGCAGTTTCTTCGATCGGATATGACTGTGATATGTGTTTTGACAGGACTTAATGTGAAATGAGCTATCTGTACAAAATCCATAGACCGTTAATTTGTTGAACTTGGAAATTTATTAGAAAATACGGTATGATAATGAGTTTATATGAACTTCATGCGTTCAAACATACGATTCCATCGAATGCGCCGCATACGTCGCCTCTAGATCTCTGTACATGCGCACATAAAATGGAACGTTTAGCGTATAGACAACGTTTACCTCGGTAAACACCGGCTGAATGAGGTAAGTCTTCGGAAGGAACCTCATAATCTTCCACCGGCTGAAACGGTCGAACAGAGAAAAGTTGTTCAGGCCAGACCATTTCATTTTCCTGTGCCGGCTCCGGCGGCCGTGTCTGGCCAATTTAGATGGGATGGACGTTTGCGAGAGGGAAGCCATTTTACCGGAAGTGGTCATTCTCGCAGTTGTCGCAGTGGCGGCGACACTTCTCGAGTTGAGCAAGGCGACGCACACCAGAACCACCACAAACACAATTGTTCCGCCAATCATCGTCACCGTGTTCCACAGCGGCATGGGTCTCATCAGCTGCGTTGAAAGTAACGTAACGGTCGAACAGCATTCGAAACTGGCGCAGCACCGGTGGTCTTGCGGACATTGGTCACTCGTCTGGCAGTGCATTTGGGCCTTACCACATTTGAACAAGAATGGTACTGAAATTAAGAAGCACTTCTATCTGAGTCGATAGCAGTTGCAGACGGAAACCTTCAGCACATGAATCACCATGACTACAAAATGCCTTGATTAGCAAGCGGAACGTACAAATAATTGCGGAAATGGGCAATAAAAGGACGCTTGCCTCAAAACAAAGTTATTTTTATTTCGAATATTACATTTGTGCAAAAACGAACAGCATAAGCGCAGCGAAACTATCACTCCAACCTGAAAAATTGTCTTATGTCCTGCTTCAGTGAAAACCAAGCGCAATATGCACCTTAGAAATCCAAGCTCGTCATCCACATGGTGGAGAGTGGAGGAAGTTAAAATGAGGAGCAGGTGACCGAAATGGAATAAGGAGGCATCAACGACTCAAAGTCGCTTTCGTACCTTCCATCAGATATATAATTTGTTGCACATAAAAATACCTGAACGTCATGTAGATGGAAAGCGTCAGATTTTGGCTAGAATTTCTAGCCACCTTCAGCAAAGCAGACAATTTCGTGAATCTTCTGCTTGCATAGACGAAGGTCGGTAGTCGATAGTGCGTTGATAATAGTTCTGATCAACAGGCTTGATCTTGACGATCTGGCGCCTGGTGGCAGCCATTACCAATAGGTACCAAAAACATGGCACCAGGTTCGCTTCAAGATTGTTTTGTCGTTGCTAATCTTTTCGATGGGTCAATGATTTCTGTCTCACAACACCTGGCCATGATATTTTCCCGTGGTCTCGTTCAATAAGGCTTCTAGCAAGACCATTTTAATGATGCTGGTTGTTGCCTGTGACTCCTGTTCCTGAGAAATCAACAAGACGTACGATTCTAGAGTGACGAAGTTCCGGTTCAGAAGTGATTTAAAATTTCCTCAGTGCCTTATAGACCTCGACAGTTCGTAAGCTGGTTGGCCTTCGCTCAATAAACCTGATTCGTTGCTGCCATAATGTTTGACCAATCGATCGATAATCAAAAGGCTATTATCCCTGAAACGGTTGGCCAGCGATGTGACAGAATACGTGGCTGGCGGAGGTGCCCGTAAAACCAAAGGAAACACACCGCCACCGAATAATATTCATAGAGAAGGTCTCAAATTCAGCCTGTCGAAGACAACAGTGACAACCGTGGCCAGGAGTCACATGCCACTTGAATGATCATAGATGATGTGTAGCAAATTATTGACATTTTTGACAATGATAGTATCTGCAACAACAATGAAGAACGGTAGATGACTTTTTTTCGTGTATTTTAGCTCCACCTCAGATAAAAACAATGATTACGAGAATGAAATTTATCAACGTGTACAAATACAATTGCTCTGGAATGAATTCCATTGGAATATGAGAAAGGCAAAGAACCAAATACTCCAAGAAGTGCAACTTGGTCAAATCCATACGCCAGAAGGTTGTAAGCATGAGCACGCTAGACCGTTAGAGAAAAGAACGGTAATCAATCGAATCCATCCATCGAATCTTTCAAAATGCATAAACATGACTATTAAGAATCTTCTAGAAACGCTCGAGAACCAGTGCTAATTCTTGAGCTTACTTGACCTTGAATATTAGCGTCTGGAAAATGCGCATAAGTGAAATCCGTAATATTTTGCTTAGGCTATGAAAATAAATGGCGACCGTTTTGAAGTGATGATATCGATTTTGACCCTTTCATTGAAATTCAGGGAAGTATGAACTTGGACCAGGGGAATCGTTTGGACAAATATTTTATTCCCAGCGGAAGAATCATGCAAGAGCAAAAGCAGTGTCATACTGTCTATTCTTCTAACAAACAATGACAATTAAGCGGCCATAAGTGCATATCTTGACATCAGCAGAAAACTGAAAGGCTATGAAAATGCATTTTGCGCAAAGGATGACTTCGACTTCCTTTTTCTACACAGAAGAATCAGTTTTAAAGAGTTGAGCTCATCACTGCACTCTAAACTACTCAAAATATCTGTTTTCTGCAATTTGAAGAAACAGATTTTTAGACGGGTTGGCGAAGATACTTTTGCCATTATGGCTATCTCTTCAGAAAAGGGCATACTTCTATTACAAACCCTGAAGGAAGGGCTAAAGAGTCTTCGTCCTTATAAATTCCCAAATAAGACAGAAAAAAAATCTTTTCATAACCGATTTTCACAGTCTCGTTATTTGAGTCCAGGCTTGAAGACTTTTGGCCAGACACTGAATGTCCTCATCATCAGCCTTTTTACGATCCACTACTGGATAAATGCCTTGTAGGCCTCTCGAAGACCTTGCCCGCACTTCTGACGGTATTTCACGTAATTTCCAATTCATGAACAATTCAGTTGATGTAACTGGACACCTAACGACTGGACATCGGGAACGGATAAAATTTACTGTCAGAATGAAAAAAAGACAACCCTTACATGAGAAGACACTGTGAACGGGCAGCTACTTAAAATATGACTGCTGCAGGACGAGCTGAAAGAAAGCTGACCATAGTGATAATCCAACTACTGCTACAGTATCTACATCCCCAAGCAATGAAAAGACAAATTACTGTAACGGGTCGGAACACGCCGTCTTTGTTTTTCGGCTTTACAGAACGAACTGATTACGGTGAGTAGCGAAACTTGACTGGGACGGTACGCGCAGGACAGCTGTTACAATTTCGGTAGTTTCAGGAAACTGTACCTAACACTGCAGCATCGACCGTCTCTTAATCAGCAAAAGCATAATGAGGCCAGGGCGGTTTTTGTGAGGGAAAATTATTTATGACGCGACGTTTCTTTCAATGAAAGTGTGTTGTTCTCTTTTGTGATATTCAGATGGGTCTATCTTCATCTTTAGGCCGCGAGGATAGAACATCGATTCAATGCAGACATGGCAAAACATTATTATGAAGACCCGCAAAATGTGAAAAAAAAGTTATTCAAGGCTAGGTGCTTAGGAAGAAAGGGCAGGGGTACATTTCAAGCAATATTTTTGTGTCAAATCTGCTTTTTTCTGACTAATAAAGGGTTGTGAATAAGGTTGGTTTGTTCGCTGGTATGATTTCTCGGTCGTAGCATCCAACTTCGATCATAGCCTCTCGTCAATTTGGTGTTATAGCCGGCTGACCAACCACGGACGCCATCTATACTTCAAGATCACGTGTCGAAACATAAAGGGAAGGCAGTGAGGACGTTCATGTGGTGTTTTTAGGCCAGAAGAAGGTATATGATCGAATACCAAGGTAGACAATTTCATGGATCATGAATAAGAATCTGACGCCAGAAAATTATGAGATGCTTACCAAAGATATGTACGACAAAGAGACCGCGATAACTGAGGGTGCGTGAGGTGAAACCGAAGAGTTCCCTGCTCGAGCAGATGTCCATCAAGCCCTGAGCTCTGAGCTAATTGCTGATCTCGATGGATAACTAGTGATCTGCAAGAACCAGCTCCATGCTGCATGCAGATGACGTAGTGCTGAGCAGCGGAATCAGAAAGAAAGTGGAAATAAAGCTGAGGCATGGAAAGGAGTCACTGAGAAAAATAGTCCTCAGCTCAGCAAAGGCAAGTTCGAATAACTAGCTGGCTATTTCCATTAAGAGAACAGGAAGAAAGCCTGTGAATCAGTAAAAGTAGAGGGCAACATTCCGCCCCAAACCCAAAAATGCAGGTATCAGCGTTCAATCCCTCAAGAGAAAATTGATGTGGAAATTGGTCGAAAAGAGTGTGATTCAACTGAGAGAGGTGATTGATGAAAATTAGATAAGAGGATGCCCATCACACTAAGGGAGAAGACATATAGAATGACAGTAAACCAGTACTTACGTACGGAAAGAAATGCTTGACTACCCAGAAGAGAAGCAACCAACAGCTGTACTGGGTAAAAACGCGAATGCTCAGGTGGATGTGTGGCGGAGTGCATCAGCAGAAAGGAGTGAATCAAGACTATCTCCTTGAGGGACTATTTAAGTGAAGAGTGACATGCAGATATGCTGATCCCTCAAGCTGATCGAAAGCAGATTCGTCGCTTGAGCCACGTTAAAAGAAAATCTGACGAGTAGTAAAGGCACCCATGCAGCCACAGAAGAACGGAAGGGGAAGACCACTCTCCTACTCCTGGACCTTCTTTCATTTTAACTGCGGATTTGTCGTCCTTCATTTAAAAGACACGAACTATGATGTTGTTGCCTAGTATGGCGATAAATGAGGAGTGTACTCGCTCCTCAAGTCTTCTTCCCGGATTTGTAGCAGTAATAAACGAAGTTTGCCAACCGCTATCCCCAATGGCTGCTCGATCAGTCGTTTCAGGATTTACCGCTATAATAACGGCTACGAATGATTCGTTCAGACGTAGTTTATATTCCATTGTATTCTCTTGTTTCCTCCTCAATTTCAGAAATCAATATTTCTTGTTGTTTTTTTTCAAATCCAAATATTTCGCCACTTCCGCACATACTCATCCTGTAATCAGTTGACCTATAGCACTGAAAACAAAACACTAGCACGGATTTAAAAAAATGAAATTTACATTTTCTAATAAAAATTAATAATTTCCGCACGAAGCAGACGATGTTTGCGTTGACAAAACTATTTTTTCGCTAAGTTCTTCGAACGACGCACTGAGCTACAAAAAATTCAGAAAATGTAATGAAGCAGGATACGGTACCGACCATCTGGAGTGAAACAAATCAAAGCCAAGTACACACAAGAGTAACGGAAGTAATCATTGAGCACAACGCGCAGATCCGCTGTGCTAATTCTTACTCGTCCCGTGTTAATTCTAACGTTGGGCGGACAGACGGCTTGCTAAAACAAGATTTTACGCTTTCAAGGAAATTTTCAGCTCTACCAAGTAACGAGACATCAGGAAACTTCATGTTCAACTTTTATCCGGTGGTCGCTTTGAGTTTCCCTTT